GACGAGTCTGCAATCACCGCAGATGAAATCCAATCAGCCTGCAGTTTGGTGGCGGGGGCGCCATCGGAGGGTGGGAAAAAGCCTACCGTTAAGCCGGTACCCAGAAGGCCGTCGCCCTCGACGATATCTGACAGGCCCGACGGCGAGTCATCGCGGCGCTGGTTCTCCATGAGACGGAGAGTATCTTGGGCTCAACCGAAACCCATGCGATACGAGAAGGGGAAAGTTGGAAGCTTGCAGTAGGTTGAAGTAGGAGACTTGGTGTCCCACGCGGGTTTACCGCGTTCCCCGGGTACTGCCGTATCGTACTTTTACAGGCTGAAACCAGCTCAGGTGCCTTTGGCTTTCGACTGAATTTGGGTGGTTTCGATTAATATTTGATCAAAATGCAAGGATGTCAAAGTGTGTTGATTTTAGCTCAATTGTGGTGTTCCTGCAAGTGCCTCGGTCGCATATAGTCCAAAGTACCAAATGCGACAGATCGTCATATACCAGACCCTTGGAAGACTCATAGTGCTTGTTCGCCGGCTTTTTTTATTTATAAATAGGTGAACTCTGCATACGATAATTGTGAAGGCTTTCTGACACGGCATATTTATTTACCTTTTGCCCCCTCTTCTGCGATATATAAAGGGGAGGACAAGCGGAGTGGACTTGAGATGTCCGGAAACAACTTTGCAGTGCCGCAGACTCTCTATCTACACATCACCACATATTAAGCCATGGATACCGCCATTGACCTCTCCGATGCCCTCAAGGCATTGGACCTTGCTAATATTCGTTTTCAGTTGATGTGAGCTCTCACTTTACTTCTTCCAAAAAAAATCCCCCAAACTCTTTTCCCCGCCCCCGCCATAATCTTCAGTGCACACTATACCTCGAAACACTACATTTCTATTTAGCCCTCAAACACTGCCAAAATGAGAGCTGCCAGCTAACATTCCAGGCCTTCAGTCGACTAGAAGACACAATTACCTTCCATTTGATTGAACGGGTTCAATTCCCACTGAACAAGACCGTCTACGCCCCCGGCGGCGTGAAGATCCCCAACAGCGACTTGAGTTTGCTAGACTACCTGCTCCGCGAACAAGAGCGCATACAGTCCCGAGTACGCCGCTACCAATCACCCGACGAGTACCCCTTCTTCCCGGACGTGCTTGAAGAACCGATCCTGCAGCCGCTAGAATACCCGCGCATCCTGCACGAGAACGATGTCTGCGTCAATGACGTGATCAAGGAACGGTACATCAGCGAGGTCCTGCCGGCAGTGTGCCCCAAGTTTGGACGGGAGGACCGTGGCGAGACACAGGAGAACTACGGCTCCGCGGCGACCTGCGACGTTGCTTGTTTGCAAGCGCTGTCGCGCCGCATTCACTTTGGAAAGTTCGTTGCTGAGTCCAAGTTCCAGAAGGACCCTGAGACTTTTGTGCGTCTGATTAAGGCTGAGGATCGCGCGGGTATCGATGCTGCTATCACCAACTCTGCGGTTGAGCAGAAGGTTCTTGAGCGCTTGGGTCTCAAGGCGAAGACTTACGGCACTGATCCTGCTTTGCCTGATGAGAATGGTCCCAAGATTAACATTGATGCTGTCGTTTCTATGTACAAGGTACGAAGAGGCATTTAGAGTTTTGCTTTTGGGTGTATAATTGCTAACTTGTGCTACTTTGATAGGAATGTGTCATCCCATTGACCAAGATTGTCGAGGTTGAGTACCTCATGCAGAGACTCAAGGGCACACAATGGGAATAAGGAGCATATTAACATCGGTAAGGTTACGTTATGATCAATCCACCGAATGTCAACATTTATGAGAACTATGTGAATTATGTGGCCGACGCAACACTGTCCCAGGGATATACAGAAGGCAAAAGCCGAAAGCAAAATAAGCTAGAATTGAATAGATTTTGTCGTAAACTGGACATAAAATGCATCAGGCTACAAAGTCGTAACAGTGACTACGACATATATTGCGTAAGAGCCTTAACCATAGGCTCGAACTTCGCCGCCTCGATCAAAATCAAGCTACCTTTCGTCCGGATACCCAGCTCCTGGAACGCACGCTTGGAGTCTGAGTGACCTTCATCAGACTTATGGGTGTAGTCAACAGTGCCAGCACACAGCGCATGGCGCTCGATGACCTCGTCTTCGGGGTGGAAGAAGAAGCGCTCGGCCTGCTCACCACCCTTCTTCTTTTTCTTCTGAGGCCGCGACTCTTCCTGGTCGAGCTTCGACTCGACTTCCTCGTAGTTCTTCGAGAGGACCAAGTAGTGCGAGAAGGTGTAGGGCTCCTTGTCCTCAACAGCCCAGGCAATCTCTTCCTGGAGCATGTTATACATGGGAGGGACAATCTCGGACGGCATGTTGATCAGCCGCTCGGTCAGAATGAGACCAATGGGAGGGATCGAGGTTTGGGAAAGGAGCTGAGAAGCGGCGGAGAGGGATGGGTTGGAGGCGGATTTGGTCTTGAGGTAGTTGATCAGGTCCTGGACGACGGGTTTGTCCTAGGAGAAGATTGTTAGTACAACGCAGAGGCGAAGATCGGGAAATCACGAACCTTGTGTTCCTGCAGATTGAGGATTGACAAGAACGCATAAGGGTCCGATTCATGTCCATCGACCTTCACTGTTGATCCCAGTGTTGGTTGGGAGAGAATCAAATCAGCGAGCGCGGACATATCGAAGATCTGAGCATCATTGTCGAACAGCTGGCGCAAGAGGTTCTTCAGACCGTGGAAATCGATAGGCTGAGGGTCGAACCATTCGAATTCTACATTGACCATGTCCATATCCTGCAGTCGTCATTATTGTTAGCAATCCGACGGCACACAGTCCGGGGTGTGCAAGTCTGACCTCGTCGGAGTCGGACTCCTCTGGCTTGGTGCCGCCCATGACGACATCACCGAGTTCTTTCCGCTTAACCATATTGTGCTAATTGAGATATATTTTGTCTGGAATTGGGTAGAATTGAAGTTCAAAAGTTGATCTTGGCCCCGCGCTCGGCCGCTTTCGAACTTTTTTCCTTATCGGCTGTTATCGCGGACATAGGTCATGGTTTGTTCCAAGGTTGGCTACCTAGCTGCCGTACCCAGGCCCATTGATTTGCTTGTTCTATGGTAAACTCGATATCTCATTCTGAGGTTGTAAGAAGACTTGGAAGAATAATTGTTAATATCTGTGATTTCATTGATGAGTTGTTCAGGGGTGTAGGACTTGATATGCATTGCATTAAAACATATATATAGACAAAATGGACAATACACAACCAAAATCTGGATTATTATAGTATTTGAAGCTTCGTAGGAATACCTAATCATGCACTATGCAATTATAACATATCAAACCCCGAAAAGCATTGCTTTTTAAATCAAGCCCCCAAGTCTACACATCATATTCAACTGCCTCAACAGTCGGCACTTTATGAAGCTTGACATCAAAGAACTGAGCGACAAGCTGCACACAATCCCAAATAACCTGGACCTCCTCCTGGGGAACACCAAGGCGCCTCGTACCACGAATATGCCAATGAGTCTCCTTGGGCAGATTCTGACTCATTATACCAGGTAGCACAACAAGCTGAGTATCAAGATCATCCAAGACCTGACGATCCGACAAAAACAACCCGTAAGTAATCTCCTTGGACAGCCAAGAAAAGTCCTTATGCGCACTGAACAGATCCAGCGTGCCAGTCGTGTTACGTGCGTACAGCTTCTGCATCCACCCAGTGCCGCGCTCGTGGTTTGCCTCGTCGCATTGCCATCCCTCGCGGGTGAAGGTGAAATCCTTGTCCTCGTCGCGCTCGACCTCGCTAATGGACAGAATTGCCTCAATGGGCTTGCATACTCCGACTATAGGCACGGATTTGACGAGCGCCTCGCGCAGCCGGCGGATCAGTGCTTGCCGGGCTGCTGAGGTCGCATAGTCTGCTTGCTGGGTGAGGTGCAGGTAGAGCTGGTCTGCTCGCTCTGGATCTGGGCTAGCGGCTAGTGTGGAAATTGCTAGGATGTACCATTTATCGCCGCCCAGATCGGTTGTTTTGAAGCGGTTCTCTAGCTCGGTGAAAAGTTGGCGGTAGCGGGGCTGGACTTCCGCCCTTGCGGTGGAAAAACTCATGGTTGTTCTTGGCGGTTGGTGTGGGAGAAGAATCGAAATGATTTTGGGCTGCAGCTGCAGCTTGCTAGCTCGGATTGGTAATCGAGAGAACATGGCGTATATTGTACGACTACAGCGTTCAATACAACGTAAAGTTGGTGTTCTCTCCATCAATCGCAGTGCACTTCGACGGCTGAAGTGGGTCACTGCAGGTTCAACATTTGGTATGATATCCTAATATAAAACTTCAATTTTTCTTTTCTTTCTACAAGTAAGTTGATTTTGAAATCAAGGGTATATTTTTAAGAAAAAAAATAGGTAGTACCTTAGATTTGCGAGTATGCCTACATCAGAAGGATATCTAAGCCGCTTACGGATTGGATAGACCACATCCACGAAAACAATATCCGCAAGATGAAGTCAATAGGCACAAATATATTTGCATTAAGTCATGCTAATAAATCACGAAACCAACGTAGCTAGTTTCCACAATAGTATTACACAATACCTAGGTGCTATAGCTACATCATTTTACAAAGTACGTGAACAAGTATAAAGTGGGGCGGGCACTAGTTAGTAACTGGAACTCTACTTCGTAAAGTCAATCATCAATGTCATCGAGTACCACTGCCTTGATTGCAACGGTTTTTTTTCAGATCAGAACCCCAAAGAAGGGTCCAGAGCACATACGATCAGAAACGAACAGGATCTGTTGTCTTTGCCCCTAAACCGGACTACGCCCCACTATGATTTCAGTGACTCCAGCATGACATCACATCATACAGAGGCAAGTATAAGATCGAATTTTTCCAGTAGAAAAATCGATCAATTCCTCTTCCATTGAAACGAACTACTTCTTTTACAACCATTCTCAACTCAGCGATTCCCAAACTCACTCTATACCTACACAACATGTCAAACTTCTCAGGCTCGGGTCATTCCAGCGTTGGAAACCCCAGTATCTACGAAGCAGGCGATCAGCGCAACGCCCCATTGTCTGAGCTCCAACAGCGCGCCCGTTATGCAGAGGGGATGCCTCATAGCCACAGTAACCTTGATTCCAAGGACGGCCGCTCCATTGCCAACAAGCTTGCCTCCCAGGAGAACAAGCCCGACTCCTCCAAGCATCACAGCGAGAATAACCCCGAGGCTGAGTTGAGCAAGCAAGATCCTACCAAGCCTGTAAGTTGCATACAGCAGTGACTCACATGAAAGCCCTTTTTATCAAGACGCATTTGCTAACGTTAGCTTGATACAGGCTAGGTTGCATGGTAATGCTCCCTCCAAGGGTGCTCAGATTGATGCTGAGCTCAAGGCTGAGGATGAGCAGCGTCTGAGGGACAAGGGTATCAAGCACTAAATTTGTGTTTTGATCCCACAAAACAAAGTACCCCCCTCGTGTCTTCTGATTGGAATTTAATATTCATCAACCAGGGATGGAGGGGTCGGTGGCGGAACATGATGTACGATAATAATGATATCTGGTCTAACGTTCTCTTGAATGAGTGACGGGCCATTGAATGAATACCTACATTGAAGATATGACAGATGGGTGTTAAACATGTGTAGCTTGTATACAGCAACTTTCAAGAGATCTTGAAGCAAGTATAGGTAGGTACCTAGGTGTTTGCAATCGTGACCCGTGAATATTTCTGATAACTTGGTATAATTCAACGCTATCATTCGAAATGCTCCCCACATGTCAAATATTATGCCACTTCCAGTTGTTAACTACACGGCAAGTGGCACACATAAGATGGCGTCATATATTATTTACACTTCTCCACGTAGAACCGAGAACCGGGATAGTAGTAATCTAGATGACGAGGCAAAATGCGGGTTTAACCCAGGTATGTCATTGTAAGATGTAGGAATAAATAGAACATATGTCATGAGATCGCTTTCTAAACAATTATCCCGATATGTACGAGATCCGAGATTTCAACGGCCGAACTATTGTACAAGATGACATTTCGACAGTCTATATAAATCCGAAGTGACAGGCATCGGATAGCTGTAACCGTTCCAGTAGGGTCCCTGACTTATTTAGCCAGAAGAAATGGGTTGGGTAGTGAATGACCCCCACTGCCAACCAAGACAGGGCTTATTACCGCAGACGCTGAGGCAATAGGAGGAGGCATATATCCGGGGCCGTTGGATTTAGGCCAAACACCGGGATCCTGTTGGGAGGGAGGAAAGGGGAGGCTGTGCAAGCCGAAGAGAAGCCCAAGGCACATAATGTGCTAGTGAGCCATGAGATCAACCATCCAAAGTAAACTTCGGATCATCGTCATGCGGCTCAGCAAAGACATGGCCCCAGTACTCCTCGACTCTCTTGCACAGGTCCACCTTGTTCTCCCACGTTTTGAACGCCGTTTCGAGTGTGCAGCTCACCCATTTGATCTCCTCCCAGTAAGCCTTTTCGACATCGTATCCAAATCGCCTAATTGTATCTGGGGGTGCCGTCCAGGCGCGTCCATCTGAGCCATCTTCCTTCAAGGTAGGTGTTGTTTCCCATCCCATGCCGAAGATCCGGTCGCCGGGGTTGAACTTAGGGTAGTTTGCGTGGATGAAGAAGATGTGTGGTGCGGGGGCAACGGACTCGTCTTTTATGCGCCACTTATCCTGCTGGATCAAGGCAAAGTCCTCGCGTGGATCTGACTGTGCCATAGCTGATCCAGACAGCCCATCCGCATTCGCGTGTCCAATGGCTTGCACCCTCTCACTGACAGTGTAGAAAGGCGCGCCTACAGCGGAGGCAGCTTGGATAAAGGTTTCTTTGTCCCCCTCGCCAGGTCCTCCTTGACTTAACAAGCGGAAATAATGCGAGGGGCCGTAGAAATTATAATACGCCGCCAGCAAAAGAGCTAGGGAATGGGTTTTCTTAGAGACTAAGAATGCCCCGGTTTCCGACGACTGTCTGGCAGCCATAGATGGTGCCTGCTGGCGCGAAATTCTGTAGTATAACGGAGATGCGGAGGAAGCCCAGAAGTCGGGCCATGTGACAAGACCATTGGTTTTGAATGGCTCCGAGTCGAGCAGGTCCTCGGGTTTGCCAAGTGGGAAGCAGTCGGCATCCATCCAGACAATCTCTTCGAAGGATGAGAAAAGAACTGCGAAGATCTTGAGTTGATAATGTTCAATGATGTTTTTACCCACCACATCCGCCAACACCAAGCACCGCGCATCGAGTTTGGGAAGCACCTCGTTGCAAACATGTTTCTCGTGTTCGGTGGCATCCTTCATGTAGAGCTCAACCGGCAGCGTTGACCCCGCGCGGCGGAGCATGCGCAGTGACGAGACAAAAACAGGTAGATACGTCGAGCCAGCTGTCGATACCAGTCCTCGCTTTCCTGGGGTATGGATCGGCTTCAACTCCTTGTCCGACTTCTTGATATCCTCGATGAAGGCCGCATGGGCTTCTTCCATTTTGCGTACATCTTCCTCGCTCAGGCCTGTCAGGTCGGGTCGCGGCGCTTCTTTTGTGGGGTCAAAGTGTTGAGCTGCGACATCGCCGCGCTTTTCCGGGGAAGGGCAACTCGGTTTGTGGCGTTCAATTATGGGTCGGAGGACTTTCCAGAAGTCTTTCTGTCGTTCCGTGAGTGGAACCTCGAATGCTGTGTTTGGGACTAAGGGGACGGTGGAGGATGCGGTGATCGGGGACCGGTAAAAGTAGACGGTGCACACTAGAATCACAGCGAGCATCGCGAGTACGAGCGCTTTCGCTCTTCCGGGTCGAAAAGCACTCATTATTGCTAGATAGTTCGGGGTAACTGCGCTTTGATCCAGGGGTTTAGGAAGCGGCGCACGGCCACGCCGATCAACTTTCACCAAGTCTAGAAAGAAAAAAGGGTTACGGAGAATATAAAGTAATATATCCGATTCACAGAGCGCGATGGGTTGCAGAGTTGTGGCGCATCACTCCAGGGACTCCGGGCGGAAAGAAGATTAGCCTACGCGGCTTGGCAGGTCTACGCCAACAAGTAACCTGCGTACATTCACGAATTGGACCAGCATTGTCTGGGATATTGTTATATCGATATAATTAATTTTGGATCATTCGAAGGATTCAATGTTCTTATCTTGGATATGAGGTATGAGATCCGTGAAATGCACCGAGTGTGTACCTGAAAGCCGAGGTCTGCTAACTGGTCTGCTAACTATTTTTAACTAGCACACGCTATAAGGCCAATAAGGCAAATTTATGGAACAAGATCGAATCGAAACACATGTGAGACACTTGAGGGATATTATTCCAATGATACGAATGGTTTCAAGATCACCGTGGAACCATTTGCCTTTTCGAAAAGGCGCCCCAATCCACCCTGGTCAGTTCTTTCTAGACGACTAAAGTGCGGATCAGCCTCCACCGGGGAAGATCGCATATCCACCCCCCAATCTTTCTCCGTCATATTATTCCTTCTTTTTCAGTCTCCAGAACTTAGAGGGTTTACTACTCCTATTTAAATACGTCTTTCCCCCAGACCCCCTCTGCGAATTCGTCGATCTAGTGGGATTCGATATTTCCGCCCCCATTACAAATCTTCCCCCCCCCNNNNCCCCCCCCCAAAATAAATCTACGCCGCGCGGACACCCATTACTCCAATCGAACAGTTCTTTTAAGGTCTGAACGAATGGACTCCGTGCGGGCATTGCCCACGCCCGTTCAAGATGGCCTCCGCCTCTGATAATGCAGATCGTCCCGCGCAAGACCCCGCGCCCAAGGGGAAATCCCGCAAAACCGACCCGAACGCTCCGATCCGAAAACGCCGTAAGAGAACCGTGGTCAGCGGAGCCGCAGACGACTGCTTTGCCTGCTCCAAGCGAGGAGCACGATGTGACCGGCGCCGACCCTATTGCTCCCAGTGCCTCGAACTCGGCCGCGAATGTTCCGGATACAAGACGACGTTGACATGGGGTGTTGGAGTCGCAAGTCGAGGCAAACTCCGGGGCCAGAAGCTCCCGGTGATGGAATCGGAAGGAAAATTGTCGGGAAATTCTGCGAAATCACAACAGAAGGCCTCAAGCAGCAGCGGCCCGTCTTCTTCACGAGTGCCTAGTAATGCTTCCGCCCCGATGCCTCCATCCACCGGTCCTGCAATGGCATCGTTTGGTGCCAGCATGCCGAGTGTGAAACTGGAAGGTAGTCCGCCCATGATGCCAGCTGCCTTCGACATGTCTTCAAATATGGCTTGGACAATGGACATGCCAGATCCTCAGTCGTGGTCGAACACACTTACTGCTCCGCCTGCGATTTCAGGGCTTCCATTACCCAGTCGGCCGATGATTCTCAACAATACGAGCCAAAATATGACCTCGGAGACGCCATTGCTATATGCGCCCATCCAAAGCCCGATGGCTAATTCCGACTCTTTGGTTTGGCCGACTGCAGTCCCACCCCCATCCCAGGCTGCTACTCCCCCAGCGTCACAAGATGCGGACGAAGAGGATGTCAAATACGACCCTAATTATCATGTGCTTTGGAACGCCGCCCATTCTCCGTCACTCTCTCAGCTCCTCTTGGCACGATCTGTGGGGAGAACCCCGCGTATTCGCTATCTCATTAGCTACTACGCCGAAGTCATTGCGCCCATGATTGTTGCCTTCGATACCCCAACAAATCCATTCCGAACTCACATTATACGCTTGGCGATGGAGAGCGAGGCTCTGCAGGAGGCGATTGCAACGCTGGCTACCAGCAACTTGCGCCAGAGGCGACAGCACAATCATCTCTCTACAGAACGAACTCTGCCGGCACGCATGTCATCAATGGCTCACCGCGCCCTCACCGATGAAGATTTCCAAGATCGATATGGCATCTCAATGGTCGAAGGATATATCAGAGAAGAAAATCACCATCGAGGGATGGCCGTCAAGGCTCTAAACGCAGATTTGGCCGACCCTCGTCGCAGATTGTCAGACTCCGTACTCGCAACTTTGTTGATACTCTGTCTTTTCCACGGCTGTGATACTGGCGTTGCTGGATTCCGTGCACAATTTGCTGGAGTAACAAGACTACTTGCGATCCGAATGCGCCATTCTCGTGTCGTAACGGATGACGTCAAATGGTTCATCCGCATGTTCTCGTGGTTTGATACATTGACGGCAACTACAAATGACCGTGATGTGCAGCTCCGCGGAACATGTTTGGAGATCAGCTCCATAACCGATGGAGAATGGGGTCTAGAGAACCTGGCCGGCTGTGATGGTCGTCTGTTCAAGTTGATTTCTCAGCTGGGACGTTTGAATCTTCTCAGTCAGGATCAAGAGCCCAACCTATCGCGCCCGGGTGACGCTGCTGTCTCCACTGCCTCTCTCCCTCCTAATATGCTGTTCCCGGGTTGGGAAACAGTTGTGCCC